ATACATATATGCATACATACATATATACATACATACATATATACATATGTACATATGCACATATGTACATATGTACATATGTACATATACTTATACATTTACATACATATATATATATACGCATGCACATGTTTGTATAGCATATGTAGGTGTATTCACATATATATATATGTGTGTGTATATATAATTCTCTGAAGGACCCTGGATCTTGTGCTTTCATGCGTAGACATTGCATTCATATGTCACGTAAAAAGCACGTATGACTACATTTACATACGTGCATTTGCATCTGCATCTGCATCTACATCCTCAGATAAATATCCATGGATACACGCACACATATATATATATATTATAATATGTGTGTAGACATATACACGTTCCATATACCTTTGCCTACCTACAAATAATACATATACATACATACACACATACCTACATACATGCATGCATGCATGCATGCATACATACATATGTATATATGTATATATGAGCCCGATACCTTTAGGGTCTATTTAACAACGGTTCTATATTTACAATACTAAATGCTTAGCTCAATAGTATACGGCTAAGTGGTACATTGCAAAAACCGAAATCCAAAAAGCCGAGTATGTAATCTAACACAATGATAACGGTCACTATGGGCATGCACGGTATTATTGGATGCTGCTGTGGATGTTGTGTTCGTATGTGAAATATTACTTTCCTGAACTGCTTACTGAGTGTTGTCTAGCGTCCCTTGTTGTATGTCTTGTTTGCAATACTTGTGCTTGAAGCTGCATCTATTCTAAGCTTCTGTGTTTGTTGGTCTTCGTCGTTCCTCTGAGTTGGTCTTTGTCGCTCCTTCGGTGTGAGTGCACTTCCAATCTTCCAAGTACAACATCAACTCCAAACCCCTAGCCCGGTTTACAATCACTGTGACCAAAAACAGCAGCAAGCGACAACAGCAGCAACAACGTTAGCAAAATCAGGAACAACAACAAAAACCCCAAGCAGTACAATTAGCAGCAGTAGTCCTCACTGTGTTCGTGTTCTTGGCGAATACAATCATACGAGTAATGAGTCATTCTTTAAGTCAGACATAGATGAAAACATTAGTCAGCTAGTCAGTAACAGCTATACTACGTCCAGTTGTTTTCCTTGGTGCGTGTACGTTTCCAGCCTTTTCAGCCCTAACAGCACCTCTAATCCCAGGCCCCTTTGTTAGTCGGTGGGTCGACAACGCCAACATCAACACCAACACCAACAACAACAAAACAACAGCAACAACCGCAGAAACAAGTGATGAATATGGTAAAGACGAGTGCGAGACGAGAAGGTTCGAAGATTGACAGGTTAGTGTTGTTTGGGGGAGGATGGGGAGGTAGGTCATAAAGATGAAACGCAGGGGATGGGGTATGATCTATCGTGCCGTCCGTATGTGTTCTGGTATTAAATGTTGTCGTGTCAGTCGGACTTTGCCTTTTTTCAGCAGCAGCGAAAACACAACAACACCAACGACGACGACAATAACAACAACAGCACGACAACAACAGGAACAACAAAACCACTCACAACCACGGAGTCACATAATGGCGGTAATGAAGATGCTGATGATGACAAAAGACGAAACAGATTGAATGTTGGAGCTTCTGGCGATGATCCTTTCCAATCCTCAATTGCAAGCAGTGTCTCCCTCCTCTCTTTTGGTGTTCATGCTCTTGAAGCCGTCAATCGCAAGCAGTACCCCTTATCTGTTCTTGTAGTCTATGTTTCAGTGCCAGTCGGACATTACTTGTCAACAACATCAACACCAACATCAACAACAACAACAAGAAGAACAACAATAAACACAGAGTCATGTGATGGAGGTGATGAAGATGTTGACGATGAAGGCGACAGGAGAAAGTTTGCAGATGGAGAAGTTAGCTGTTTTTTAGAGGGAGCATTGGGAGGGGAGCATGGAGAGATAGAACAAAATAGCTGAATAAGGGGAAGGGGTATGACGACGAAGAAGATAGGGTGGTGAACTCCAAGCAGTGTCCCCCTTATTGCACTTTGTCTTTCATTCACCACAGCAGCAACAACAACAACAACTGCAATACACACGATTGGTAGTTAGTATTAATTATACTCACATTATTGATACTAATAGTGGTTATACCGGTAATAAGTCACAAGCAGATCAAGCACAAGGAAGCAGTATGAACAACGGTAATCATGGACAAAAGCTGTCATCAACATCATAGCAAACATGTCGTAGTAGGAATGTTGTTCATAATGTAGCACATGCAATGATAGGGACAACTTGGGTTTACAAACGAGCTTATGCTTTTAATGTTGGCGGACACGGGATTGAAAAAAAACTGCGATTCTGAATGTGGAGAAGAACCCTGGTTTGAAAAAACCCTATTTTTGGTGTTGGAAGACGATGAGGGTTTATAAAAAGCCTTGCGTTTTTGTTCTTGGAGGGACAAAATTATTCACACAACACCTTGCATTTTCAATGTCGGAGCTCTTACCAATCGATTCTTGGGCAAAATTTGCTGCGATTGGCTTGTTCGTTGTTATATCTAAATCAGGAACCAGCCAATCGCATCAAATTTTGCTAACCGAGTCTTGGGCAAAATTTGCTGCCATTGACTTGTTCGCGGTTATAGTTAAATCAGGAAACAGCCAATCGCAGCAAATTTTCCCAACCGATTTTTGGGCAAAATTTGCCGCGATTGATTTGTTCGTGGCTATATCTAAATCAGGAAACAGCCAATCGCAGCAAATTTTCCCAACCGATTCTTGAAGTGTGGCGAGATTCACTATAATGCACTGTACAGAAATAATATACATAAATCCCGAAAAGCTGTCATGCATGCATGCACACACGTCATACTGCGATACCAATGCACCACGCCGTCCTGCACGATACACAGAGCGATGCTTGGCGCTGTAGGGCACGGATGCTGCAGGACAAAGTCACAGGACAGGACGTTGAGCAGAACTAGCAAAACAGTACACAATAGACAGAATCGAAATTAAACTAGCATCACGTTGCAGCTTGATGTTAAAGCTTCGAACGGCAGCGCCATGACAAAGTCATGATGCTGTAAAGCGCGCAAAGCTGGTGGGTGCAGAAACCTTCGCCTGCGCAAGTACAAGACCGGATGATACACAGACGGGGTTCGCGATGGTGCGTGCAGGCCTTGTTGGAGAAGCTCGCAGCCTTTTGAGCCGTGGCGCGCGCCGAAACAGAACAATTTTTGGCTCCGGAGCTTTGCCCTCCGACCTCACTACACCATGGTTCTGTGGCTCGCTATCAGAAAAAAGCCCTGTTGCTTTCAGCAACACGACTTTCCTGGATATGCTAACTGCGATGCTGCGGCGTTGCCAGCAAGAACTTCTGTGCAGAAAGCTGTCTCTCTGGCTTGTGGCTGAAAGTTTTTAGAAGAAACTTCGACGTCGCACGAGCTTATTGCACAGAATGTCTGGCAAGCAAAAAGTCACGGAAGCATGAGTTAAGACCTTGACCTTGACTATAGAACATTCACCTCAGTAGAGGGCCGAGGGTCGTGGAGTGGAGCCTTTGCCAACCTGCACAGATCTTGGGCACGGATAGCGTATCACTTGAGACAGGCTTTACCGACCAGGACATATCTTGCATCTTCTAAGAACTACCCTTCAGCTCAAGCTCATCCATGCTCATCCCACAACAAAGCAAGGCTTCGCAGCACGTGATGTGGCGGTGGAGATACTCCAAAAACACAACCTGCCTCATGATGGACCTTGAAACCACTTCATTGTCGGCGTTTGAATGCCAAAAAGTTGGCCTTCGAACAGGAATCCCTGCAGCCCTCGAAATCGAATCAATGGTTTTGTTTCAATGAGTAGCAAGAGCGTTTGCCGGGCCAAAGCAAAGAAAAAGACCTGAACACCAGCCTTCCGGCCCTCGTCTCAGACGCATCACTCGCTGAGGTGCCGGATGAGCGGTATCTGAGTCGAGGTGATTCAGCACATCTTCTGATGCATGTTGTGCCGAGGATGCATAAGGTGTCATCAGAAGACAAGATATGCTAGCAGGAATTGTCAGCACCAGCCGTCATGAGAATACAGCCACGGCATATAAACTCACGAAAACCGTATATTTCTCTAAAGGACGAGATTCAAAACCCAAGAGACCCTTGTTCCAACACGAGTCGAAAGCTCACCCCGGTCAGCCTGGGCAGTGGGATCCTCCGCGGCCACCTGTGCGTTTAGGTTGCGGAGTCCTTTGCAAAGCCTAAACAGGACATGCTGGCACGGAGGATTTAAGGAAGCTCGGACGAATCTCGCGGAGAGGAAGCCTCAGATTCTAAATTGAAACCGAAGTTAGGACACGACTTTGCATCTTTCGTGCGACAGTGGCTTAGGGGCGCACACTCGCTGCATTCTCACAACGGCTCATGCTGCTTCTTGGACTCAAAATGCGGCCTCCGTTGCCGTGGAGAGGGCTCGCTCTAGCAAGAGCGGTGGAGAGGGTCCGGACGCTGGAGCGGGCCGCATCCTTTCGCGTCGGCGACATGGACACAGGCTCTTCAACAACGCAGGCTAGTCACTGCAGCTCAGGATGACAACGACACATGTAGAAACAAGAGCGCTGAGTTCCAAAAAACTCAAATCTTTCCCTGGATCCGAAAGACCCGATATATCTCGAAATCCGCCCCTGCCCCTCAATCCCTTTAGGCCGAGCCGAGCCCAGTCACAGCTTTATCGCTCGCATAGCGTTCCGAAGAGTAGTGGCAGCCTGCCGCCCGGGCTTTAATGGGATTTTGCCTTGGGCCTGGGGTGGCTAAGCTTTTTTTGGTTCACATGCGCGAAAAGGCTCTGGGAAAATTGCTTTGATGAGGCTTGGCCGCAAGCTTTCCCGAGACTCCCAAGCGGGCCACCGCTGGAGCTCTCGGGACTTCAAGCTTCGCTTCAGCTGCGCCTTCCACTTCCGGGGGCCCAGCAGGCTGCGCTCACGCAGGGCCAGGCGCTTTTTCCTGAGCCAGGCCAAAGCTGGGACTCGGGTCGGGCTTCGGTCCTGAGCGGCTCAGATGAGTCCGTGCAGGAAACCCCTCAGCCCATTCTCGCCAGGTCTCTCTTGCTTCAGCGTCGTGGCAGCATCCTTCAGCGCCTTCACGGCTGCGTCAACCTTGAACGTCAGGAGAGATTATAAGACTCTGGGTATGCTCTGCTTGCACACGGAACTTGGGGCTCCCCGCCTCGCCCATGAGATCGGCGGGAACTCGCGACCGCAGCTGCTCCAAAGTCAAGGCGCAATCCTCCACCGCCTGCGACGAGAGATGACTTGCGTTGGCACATTACTGCCTTACTGCTAAGATCAGTTGCCCCTCCCGTGATTTGTCAGCACCGCTAACGCTGCCACAGTGTGTGAGTCGAGAACTGTTGCCAGGAGGCCCTTTGGCTCTAGCATGTCCCCAGCGAAGCTACAGACAGTACCCGGCCTTCGGATCTGTTGCAGTTTCCGCCTTGGCAGAATCATCATCCACTGCCAGCTGCTGCTGGACCAGGTTCGCATACTTGCCGCCCGCCTCCGCCCATCTCCAACCGACACAAGTTCTCGCATGCGGTCTTAAGAGTCTGAAGAGCATGTACGCCTTTAGAGCCGAGAGACTGAAACTATCATGTAATATCGTCTCAGAATATGCTTGGTGAGGACTTTCACACTTCAGCTTCTGTGGTTGCGATAAAGATGCTGTCCAGGACCCACTCTACAGATCTCTACACCTTCTGCAAGAGCTCCGCATGTGTGCCCTGCTCTATGATCTTGCCGGATTCCATGACCTCGGCTGTCCGCACCAAGACACGTGCAGCATACTCCTTCATTCCAAGCCAAGGAAAACAACTCCAAAAAACAGCACAGCGTTGCACCTACGTAAGCCGCGGGGCCATGATCAGATTCGCATTCATGATCGTGGACAGCCGATGGGCGATGGCAATCACAGTCCGTCCCTTCATCAGCGACTCCAGTGCCTTCTGCACCTGATGGGCGATCGGCATTGCACGGTTTCTGTGAGGATCCCGAATCAGCAAGTCTCCAGCATCCACGAGCACTGCCGCCTTCCGCTCCGAGACCGTATCCAGCGCCGAGGTGGCCTCATCCAGAAGCAGGATCCTGAGGGCAGATGCCGATGACAGCGAGTATCGATCACGAAGCAGTCTTGCAACTCTCACAGATTGCTGCAGGAACCCTGTTCTGTTCTTGATCCTCGGAAACCTTTAACCACATTAAGCCTTCGGACCGAATGCAATTTTGCTTCAATAGACCGCGGTGCTTTGGGTCCGTCAGCACGGCCCTTGCGATGGAGAGTCGCTGCTTCTGGCCTGAGCCCAACCCGGGCCAACCCGGCTTAGGCTAAGGAACTCAAACTGTTGAGCCATGAAAGCCAGGTAAATACGAGCAAAGGAAGCCCGAGGCCCATCAAGCATGCTTCTGGAACCGTGTTCACGGACGCAGCACCACATGTCTGGTGTTTCTGTCTTATTCAATCGCGAAGATCTTCTGCTACCCTGCGCCTCCAACATTAAAGACCCGGAATCTGGAAGTCCGAAAAATCGAAGGTCCTACAGTATTAAAGAGCAAGGCCTGAAACCCCTCTCGTGTCAACCCTCCTGAACTTCCCCGGCGAAAAGCTCCTCAACCCAGAAGCCTCCGGAGAGCTCGGCAGCAGGTGTGGCGACGCCCTGCGGCTTCTTCATGACGTCCTCGGAGGCTTTCAGGTTTGGATCTGGGTGCTTTCGGGGTTTGGCTCGCAGGCGAAGCGTCGGCCCTGAGCCCAGTAGGATCCAATAGCACTCCCTGAGCTCATTGACCAAAGCAGAGCCACTATCGGCAGCCAGGCATCGTCATAGAGGTCTGCCTCGCGCATGGCCCTCAGCACTTCCTCTTCTGAGGCATCCGGCACTCCGTAGCGAATGTTGTCCAGAACCTTACATGCCCCGGCAGCCAGTCCAAGGGGGGCTTTGCAATTCGCTGAGAGAGACGGGCAATAAACACCTCGCCAAAGCATGAATCTCATCAGTTCCCAGGCCGAGCCAATTTTGATCCCACACACAGCACATTCCCTGAAAATCCTACAACTGGTGATGATGTCAAGAGGCGGAACCCTGGAAGACGCATTGGTCCTGAGACACCCAGGCAACGGCCCGATAAAGTGCCTGTGGGTTCCAGTTTGCCAGGCTTATCCCGTCGATCTCGAGGGATCCATTTTGCGGGTCGTAGAAGCGCAAGAACAGGTTGAAGAGGGTCGACTTCCCACATCCTGACGGACCAACCAGCCCAACCATGGACCCCGCCGGGATCGTAAACGTTACGTCCTTAAGCACCGCAGCCTCCATGTCCTCCGTGTAGGAGAAAGACATGCTTTTGGCCTGGATGTCGCCCTTGATCTCTGCAGGTGCCGGGTTGTGCTTGGAGGTATCCTCGAAGGGGATCGCCGGCGGCCGCTTCAGAGCCTCCAGTACGGCCTCTGCATCTTCTGCAAAGGTCGTCTTGGTCCGAAGGCGGTGCTTGAGTCGATAAAGTGGCCAGGTCGTCTTGAAAACTTTGCCCACTGCCTCTCTGACCTCCTCTGCCCCGATGTAATTTAGATTCACCAAGGTTCCACCATACATGTATGCGACTTGAAAGGCAAACTCCCCTGTGAACCAGGATCCGATATCGGTCAAAAAAGACACGTAACTACTCATCTTGCGTGTAAGTTTCTGCCGGATGCTTTTGAGAAAGGCCTGCTTTTCCCGATCCTCCCGCGCAAAGGCCCGGACAATGCGGAAGTTCTGCAGCACTTCTAAGGCATTCTCCTTGATCTCCTCGGTAACCGCATCATGGTCCTGTGCGACCTGGAGCATCGCATCAAAGATTCCGAATCCAATGTTCTGGAATGCGAACATGCCGAAGCCAAAAGCGCAAAGCCTTGGCTTTCGAAACCAAAGGAGCCCAACATTGGTAATAAGGTTGGATACCATATTCAGGAGTTCAGGGATGTCGCGCGTGAAGACTCGCTGCACATTGTCAGTTCGCTGCATCAGTGTTCTGTACAGCTCGTCAGCGCCTTTCTGGGAGATCCACTTGACATCTTGTTGGATCAGACGTTCAAAGAGTTCTCCTCGCAGTCTGCAACCGATCTTGTCCCCAGCACTCTCCATCAGCCAACGAGACCAATCGAAGAGCTGATTCACGAGACCCCAAAGAAGAAGTCCTTGACTCAAGATTCCAAGCAGCTCCGAGTTGGACTTTCCAGCATGCTTGCCAGAGAATAGCGTCATGTCATGAGCACAGGCCTCGGCAGTCACTCAACGGGATATACCATAGCATGACAGTAATTCTTCAGGGCAACAAAAGCAGAATCAAAATCATAGCATGCGATCCCGGCCTTGTCCACAGCAACATTGGCCAGGATGCTGAGCCCTGTACCGACACCGATTCGCAAAAACTCGGGTGCCGCCACTGCTGCAAAGCCTGCAGAATGGTCTCGAAGACCGTTTTGTTCCACTGAGATTACTATCTAGATGCTAAGGCTGAGGTGGTTAATCGAAAACGAGGAAGTATTTTCCAAAATCACCAGTCCGAGACACGTCGAAACAACCGCCAGAAAGAAGGGGGCGTTTTGCCTTCCAACTTGAAGCTCGCGACTTGCTTCCAGGACTTGCAGGTGAAGTCCTCCAAGTCCGTCTCCCAAACACTAAGTTCTTTGGCGACGAAGGACGTCTCCAGAAGGGACGCTGTCTCCTCGGCTACCTCCTCTCGGGCCTTCGCTGGCCCATCAGTATACCCTAACGAGATGTGCGGCCGGAATCCCAGCTTCTGGCTTTGAGCATCAAGCTGGCAGGATCTACCCCCGAGGAAAGCGGGCAGCCAGGACTTCGGCACAAGGGAGGACACCAGCGCACGTGCTGCGAGGAGCTCGGGGGAGCTTTTCACCTCGAGACAGATGCTTCGGAAGAAGGAGGACCCCAGCCCCAAGCCCTCCACTTCGATCGGAATCGGGGCCGTCTCGACGGCAAACTTCTTGGCGAAGTCGGTCACGTCCTGATGCGAGGCATCTAACAGTCCCTGGAACTGTCTAGGCCCCTAGGCATTGAATCTGCAAGTCATCTCTGCCCTCGAATCTCTGCCCTCGAATGACGGATACCGTCGCCTTGATCATGGGGAGATGCCTACAGAAAGCTAGCAGGACAGCATGTAACATCCTGTCGTAACTCCGTCCTGCTCCTCGCCCATGATGGGGCCCAGCAGGGTCAGGTGGGGCGTAAATGATGGTCCACCAAACTTGGAGCTCAAGTCCGTAACTGCCTGCAGCATCGGCTCCACGTGCGAGAGATGTCGTCTAAGGTAGACGAGATGCCGAGTGACATGATAGCTTGGGCGTCCAATGTATTCATCGTATTCTAATGCTAGGGAGAGCTACAGCGGTATGACTGAACGTGCGTCGGAGGAGTCCAATTCTGCATTGCACAACTCGCTGCTAGCCAGCATGATACGTACGACATCATCCGACCATTTCGCCAAGCTAACGATGTTTATCGACGGTGTGGCCCGATGCCAAGACAGCGCCATGAGTTCGCCAACACACAGCACAGGACGAACCCACGGCAACTCCAGACTCCAGGCCTTCTGAAGAGCCTCGACGGCATTGCCACTAGGATTCAGCCACAGGCCGTAGGTCTTGCGCTCGTCCCGCCGATTCCCATCCACCACGACAGCTTCAATGGCCTGAGATCCAGAGGCATAAAGGCAGTCTCGGGTCAAGACCCTCTCTGCCCCAGCGCTTGGTAGGGGGACGGATCCAAGCTTAGACAGTTAACGAACTATGATGGCGCATACAGCTCCTGGACGCCGTCCTGAACATCAATGCCGAAGAGGGACAGAGAGTGGCCCCGAGCCCTTCCCACGTAGCGCCGCAAGCACCGTCGAAGCTGGTGCCGACTCAGACTCTGCTGGCCTGTGAAGAAAAACATCTCTCTAGACTCTATGACTCCATGACGGCACTGATATGCCAGCTACTCTGCTCAGAATGACGACGGCATGCTTGGAGGCAAGTTGAAGGTTACTCCGTGCTTGCCGGCGAATCATGACTCATATATCACATATGGATGTTGTCCAGCAGGATTGCTCGCTGGCTTGATGCGTGTGTTTAACATGAAGTCCGTTCTGACAACAAGCCAGCTTTATGCACAGAGTTCCGAAGCCGCTGAAATTTTGTTGTGACTTGGACGGCTGCTATCATCGGTTACACACATTTAGCCTAGCCTTGCTGTCCGACGACACCTACCTCAATTAGTCTTGATCTTCCACGACCTAGCACTACCACTGCCTTGCAAGTGCTGATCAAACCTCAGCTTTAGACTAGGACTATTTGCCAACTCGACGCACGATGCATCCCACAGCCGCCTGGACAAGACCACCCGAAGGAACGTTTTTCCTCGGGCCTGCAGTCGGGGTGAATCGGACATCGTTGTTCATGAAGTGAAGGGGTTTCAAGCTTCAGCAGGTGTATGCCTACAACAGCTCCGTGTAGGCATCAGTGGACGAGGCTGCTTGTAATCCGTAGTGCACCTGTATCCTCTTCGCGGACCTGTTCAGCTCCCAAACGCAGAAATCCCAAGCCCAAGATAGCCCAAGAGCTTGAAATATGGCCTCAGTGAGACCCTGCAGAGTCAAGCGGGTCTCCGGCACCTGCGGGGCCGAGATCTGCATGGGAGGGCAAAGAAAGTGCAACCCGAAGGCTCCAAGTGTCTCTGCCGGGTCCGCCGGGGGGAGGGAAGATTGAAACAATTTGGCGCTCAAGAGGTTGGAGTTGGACTCCCACGCTTAGGGTGTGTGCCGGGCTGTGCACCACAAACACTAGCTGCACTAGCTATCAAAGGCCTCCCACTACCTACGAGACGTGCGCGAGCAGTGAGTGGATGTGGTGGACTTTTGCTCGTTCTTTTCTGTTCAACAGAACATACCTGTTGTAGTTGCGTGTTGTGTTCTCCATGTTGCTCGTGCCAGCCATGCCCGCAGCACTGCGTGCGGGGATTCACAAAACGGGTACCGATAATGAAAGTCCTGAATGCCCTGGAGACAGCTGCTCAAGTGAACTGGCATTTTTCACGAGCTAACACAACTAACACCAAGAAGACATATTGAAGAATGCACGTTCCGGACGGTGTGCGGCCTTTAAATCTTCAGCGATTGCTTTCAAGAGCTCGATCTGCCATTCGTCCTTCTCTGCCTCTTCTTTGCTGACCTTGGGGTCTTCTGCAGCCAGGCCATGCTGAGAAGCTGCCACACGGTTCTTGTGGTCAAAGCGCGAACAGGGTGCCGAGAGCTGCAGCTGCGCGCCACAAGAGATCGCCAGAGCAAGCCTCTTCCTCGGCAGTTGCCATGACGAGCTTGGGAAGGATCCCGCGTCTTGCCAACGGTCAAGAAGCTTTGGAGTCGAGAGAACTGCTGTGCAATTGCTCAAATACCAGCGGAATCGGACTGGAGAGGAGAAGTTTTTGTCTTTGCCGTCGATTTCTGACTGCTCTGACTGCTCGCTTCAACCAAGCCGTCCATACCTGCTTACATTGAACGTAAATTTCGTGATACCGCAGCCTACAGCGGTCATAGCAACATGGATCTGACAAGATTGACCGACACTAAAATCACACTAAAACCGTCAAAACAACTCTGTGATTCTCGCAGAAAGTTGGGCTGCGAAAACTGAGAATTCCTGAATCTTCCAACCTACGCTAGTCATGCAGCGGGTTGCACTACTATGAGTGCAGCATGAATCCCCCAAACCCTGAAAGCTCGTCGAAGCGTCTTTCGTGAATCAAGATATCGACTGTAGTGGACGCTGCAGAGAGATCCTCACAAAACAAAACCAAGGGAAAGTTCTTCAGAGGCATAGAAAAGGCATCCGAGTGCCAATCACACTGATGCAACGACTTCAAGCCCCGACTACAGCAGAAATCCTACGCAGTGTCCTGCTGCGTTGTAAAAGGGGAAGATCACCACAAGCCAATTCGCCGCGCGGAGTAAAGGATCAGTCTTGGAAGCTTCGGCCACATTCCTGCACGGGCTGAGGATTCTTAGTCAGTCGTGGGCTTCGTGGTTTGGCTTGCAGCTCACCAGCTGCTGAGCAATGGATGTATGCAATCATAATCTATATGCTGCAAGCATAATAACAGGACGCACTCGTTCATGGCGTGGGGCTGCGCGGACATGATGGTTTCTTGCGAGGGAAAAGACGTGGGAGAACAACTGAGCAGAGCATGAAGATTGGTGCTTCCAACATGGGCGCAAGTGCGTTGTCCAATCTAGGCATCCCAGCAGAAGGGACAAGCCTGCGCTGATTTCACCGAATGCTGATATGAAGTTCCGCTTCAACTGACAGCCCGGCCTAAATCCTTCAATGCTGCGCTTCAGAAGACCCATGGCTCTTTGGGAACAGCTTGGGGCATTTTTTGGTCCTAAACCCCAGGCCCAAGCTCGAACAGCTGACCAGGAGAGTGGGTCGGCAACTGTTTCCATGTCCAGGCGCAGGATGCCAATAGAACCAAGTAGAATGTGCCCTAAACCCTAAACCCTAAACGGCCCTAAACCCATAAACCCAAAACCCGGAAGAGCATTTATCAACATAGCCAGCATTCCCACGCTGACATGTCCTTTCGGGGCTCCCGGCCAAGTCTTCGGCACTGTGCTTCAGAACCGGCTGAGTGGTGTACGTGTTTAGCCTGTGGTAGCAAAGGGTTGGCGAGGTCTGGACCGTCTGCCCCTGAGCGCCGAATCCGAAGGCCAACTCGTTTCTCTTCGGAAGAAGCTTCCCCCTCATGGATTGTGCCATAATGTCCGGCTAGATTGCGACATTGGCAATGGCAATTAATTGATGTTTCAAGAATCATCAGACTAATTCAGGGACAGCCCCTCATCGAAGCCCGAAATAGACTTGAACTCTGTGGGCCTGTCCACAACGAAGCCGCGCGCTTCGAGTCCCTGGCATTTGGCTTGTTGTTGTCATGGATAGGGGGATGCCGGTAGAATGTTAGATTGTGGGACCAATTACACAGGAGCCGAGGGACGCTGCAGTCTGGAAGTCGGCGATGCTTCACACGGCTTGGCGACAGTTGGCAGAGTCTCTGAAAGGGAGAATCTTCTTTCTGCGAAGTCGCTGATGGCGAATTGCGGGAGCTGTTGAAAGTGTCGGCTTTCGAGCACATCACGCCCCGGCCGCTCGAGGGCTCAGTGACACTCACACACAGAGACTTCTACGCAACAACTGATGAGGACTCTTTGCAGTGGCATCAGGGATCACACGATCAGCACTGAATGCAGTAGACGGGACAAACATTGCTGAAAGCAACAAAGTATGTCTGCTGTGCACCGCCAGTCGGAACCGTCCAGCAGACTTCCCCCGCATACACGACAGAGCTTTCTCGAAGGCTGCCATGATCATCACAGACCTTTGAGTATACCATAGTACCTACAGGAATGCAGCGAGGGAAGAGGGCCGGCAACTTAAGTACATGGTAGCGTGAATTAAGTTGCAATGCTTGCGCCCGGCTGTTACTAAACAAATATAATTTGCAGGCGACCTGGTGACCTGTTGCTTCATTTCCAAAGCTTTGATATTTCTCTTCCCTGCAAACAAGCCGTGACATTTCGCAACGCGAAGTGTCGCAGCAGACAGTGTCCGCTAAGATCCCTTCGCTGCTCGCAGCGACGCTTGTATCTCAGCAACGGCGTCCTGAAGCAAAGTTTTTGGCCCGTGGAGTGCTGTGTCGATTCTTCGCTGAATGCACCCAATACCCAGTTGCAGCAACCGAACGAGCATGCCCGTGCCATACCCAACTCTTCCTGATACTGAGAGCCCAACTGGCTGTCTAGCTGGCAAGACTGTTGCAAATCTCGCGCACATGGTTGGAGGATCTCTTTTTGCTTCATCATGTAGCATCAGCAGCCACAGCCACGGTCAAAAGACCAAACCCGGCAACTCAACATCTCAAGCCCGCCTCCCCAGAAAATCCAGAAAGCTGTCTGTGAGCCCATCGGCCTTCAGGGCAGCTGGACTGTCTTTGGTCCACTGAAACTGCCAAGCCTGCACGCGGCCAGGAATGAGAGGGTTGGGATTGAGGGAACAGGACTACGGCTAATGGTGCAGCCAAGGTTTTGCATCTTGCTTCCAGGCTCATCTGCAAGAATGCCGAGATCCACTAGCAGTATCTCAAGAAAATCAGCTCAAGATCACTTCAATGACCCAGCATAGAAACAACCTTCTGGGATGTCTGCTGGTCTAGCTCATACCCCGAAAAATCGAACGCTCTCCCCTGGGAACACCTCTAAAGAAACGCAAACCTCAAATGCTAACGCCCCGGTGCCCAACAGTCAAGCGGCGTCAGGCGATCAAGGTGAAAGCGGCTCAAGGCTTCACAAAAACATCAGATATCGGAGGTGCAATGCCTCCTAAATCCGAAACTCCCCTGCACTCTGCCAACTCTCACCCGAAAGGCCCTGTGCAAGACCTTTCGATAGTTTCGGACTGCACTTGTGGTTCCTCCTCAACTCCACCGTCAAAGACTCCAAAGGCACTTCAGCCCTTCCTCGCGCATTTGTACACCACCCGAGGCGAATGCCTTAAGTTTAAAACACTCCCCTATGTCGCCCAAGCCTTCCCCTCGGAGGTCTCCCGAAAACCCAGGCCTCGCCTCAGCGTGATGTGGAGTTTAGGGCGTTTAGGGTTTGGGGCCGTGTCTGGAGTCCTGTGCAGCTCACGGTCCCGTGCTTAGTCCGGCGAGGGGCAGGATTTCGGGCAGAGCTGGTGGGCCCTGGAATCCAGCCATGCCTCTGCCCTGGCTGCTTTCGGAAGGTCCAAGCCACTTGCAGCTGGCAAACGAAGAAGACGTGTTTGTCTTCTCTTCACAACAACCGTGAACAATGTAAGGAATCCCGGCCACTCAACACCCCTTGGGCCACCGCATTGCCGGACCAGCCACATCCAATGCGCCAAGGGCCTGTTGAAAACCAGAGAGTTTGCATAGTAGACGTTAGCAGATGTTTAGCGGAAAGCATCTGCAGCTCTGTCACTAGTATTAGAGCAAAAACACAAGCTTCGCATGAGCCCTGTAGAGGTAATGCTCCGAGTCCGTATGCCAGAAGTGAATCGAAATCGAAGCAGGCTTCGCTTTCGCCAGGGAATCGGCGTCAACAACACCCTGTCTGTCTTCTCAGCTTCGAAGAAAATTCCAGTGAGGTGGCAGACTGACATTGTGACAAACGGAGCAACATAGCCGTCATAAGAGGAACCATGCTCCCACCTCGGAGAACACCGCGTTTCCCTTCCAGATCAGCATGTACCTGAATGCTTCTGAGGCCACGGCACTACCCGACACCGCTTGCCATCTCACGCTGAAGACTTGCTGAAACGGTCTCTGAGGAGATGGCTTCGGATCCTGCGGGTGCTCTATCAAGTTCTGCGCCTCAGACACATGCAGATCTGCTACAGCTCCCGCAAGCCTCTCCTTAACAAGGCGAATCAGGCATCTAGAGCTGTGCATGGAGAAGAACGAGCCCGTGGCCACACGGAGCAGAACACCCAGAGCCCGTCGACGGCGAACCTTCGGCTCTTGTTGCCGATTAGTCTTCGAAACCGCTGCCGACTACTGCTTCCTGTCATGACACGATGCACATGTGCCTGCTTCGCTCGAGACACAGCGCTTGACTCCTTTGTTGGGTCCCGCACTGCCGGCTCCATGGCAGCTAGCCCATCCAGAGCTGAGCCCAACCTCTTCGAGTACAGTGCTCAAGCATTTCAAGCCCTAGCGGCCCTAGCCACAAAAGAGAAGCCAAGGCCTTGGGAACGAAGAAGCCTTTCTGCTGGCATATCAAGAAATCACATACATTCCCACCCCGGCCTGGCTTGGGCAATTGGGCTCGCTGTTGCAGTGGCGGTGGAGCGGAGAAGTCTGCCACAGCAAAAGATCAATCATGCATCAATGTACCTTATGAAAAAGCAAAGGTAATTGGGACGCCCATGGGCTGCTGGCAGGGAGGTATGGAGGAATGCATGGGGACTTGAAAAAAATGGTGGCAGGGATACGGACGCGCAGACATGATGGGTCCTGCATTCGCCACGCATCTCTCGCATAAACAGACATGATGTGGACATGGGACACTAATGGCATTTCACCTGCTGCGGCACCACGAAAGGACAATGCATCAGCCCAATGTGCAATAGGGTCCTGCCCTGGGCAAACCTGCCAAGAGAGACTCCTGGCAGGTCAACTTCGGCTCGGAATGGTGTCGACCCAAGTCCTTGTTGGATAAAACCTGTTGCCTTTGCCACCGCCAACCTCGGGAAATCATCTCTGAAACCTGCTTGTGGCCAAACCTCTGCCAAGCGCTGGTGCTGTGCCAACACCGCTGCGCTGCTCAAGGCAGCCAAGGTCCAGACCTGGGCAAACTCTCCCTGCCTCTGGGCGAACTTGTTTTCTATGTGCTTGCGGTGTCAGTTTCACTGACAACGGGAACTTTAATGTCCGGGGTTTGGGAATGTAGCGTCACCCCCCGGGCACCTCCTTCCTACCCTGGCTCTCAATTGGCGCGCTCATGTACTTTTATGATTTCTCTTCCAGGACGACCAACGGGCGGTGTACACTCGAAGTTGTGCATGATACCTATGTCCCAGTAACTCAACTTCTCAAGTGCGGCAATTTACCTTACACTGGCAAAGTATACAAACACTTGAAGGAGTGAAAACGAATTGAGAGTTTTACATACATGATGCCAGTGATGCTAATTTTAATGATGCATCTATGCATGCTGAACCCGAGACCCGTTCTCCCGCTGGGTTCGTCGCGTTTTGCCCACGAGGCCCGCACCAGGAAAAGGGTCACTGGCGAATCCAACACTCGGCAGACCTGCACTTGAACATACAGCGAAACATGGGCATCTGGTCTAGGGGGGGCGAGAGAGAGAGAGAGAG